AGCGATTTTAACGGTGTTATAATCAAAAGAAAGGTAATCGGTTTACCTTTCTTTTGATATTTATTAACAGTTGCAAATCATTTACACTAGTTCACAAAAAATTTGTTTTTTACAACTTTGCAAAATTTGATTGCATTTTTTCGACTTATATAGAGACGGTTTCAAAAGTTCCAAAATTTCTATAAAAAAGTTAAGCGATTTTAACAATATTATAATCAAAAGAAAGGTAATTGATTTAACTTTCTTTTGATATATATTAACAGTTGGAAATCATTTACACTAGTTCACAAAAAATCTGTTTTGTTACAACTTTGCAAAATTTGATTGCATTTTTTCGACTTATATAGAGACGGTTTCAAAAGTTCCAAAATTTCTATAAAAAAGTTAAGCGATTTTAACAATATTATAATCAAAAGAAAGGTAATTGATTTAACTTTCTTTTGATATATATTAACAGTTGGAAATCATTTACACTAGTTCACAAAAAATCTGTTTTGTTACAACTTTGCAAAATTTGACCACTTTTCCACTGCTTATATATAGCTGTTTACAAAAGTTGCAAAGTTTTTATGAAAGCGTAAAGCAATTTTAACGGTGTTATAATCAAAAGAAAGGTAATCGGTTTACCTTTCTTTTGATATATATTAACAGTTGCAAATCATTTATGGTGGTTCAGAAAAATTATGTTTTCTTACAACTTTGCAAAATTTCTGAGGGTAGAAGGTACTGGTGGTGCTCCTGGCGATGAAGAAGCTGAGGGCAGAAGGTTCTAATGGTGCTCCTGGCGATGAAGATGCAAGCGTTGAAGGTGCTGATAGTGAATCCCAAATCTGTAAACAAGCAAAAATATCAATTAAAATTTATAAACATACAAAAAGTCTCAATACATACCTTAAGAATGTGACTAATACTAGGTTCACATATAAGTAGATTATCCTCATTTCCGAGCTTAACATCCGAATCTGTAATTATAACAAGAGATTCGCCATATAAAATTCGTCCTTGTTAATCTGTAATTATAAAATAATCTCAGATTTAACCGATAACTTTTCGTTGTCCATCCTAGTTTTATCGATTGTTTTTGCGAAAGAGAGGAGAAATGCCAAATGTAAAAGTAAACAAAAATGTACGCTAGCAAGTAAAGGAGGTTTGTTAATGTATTTTTTAATAAAATGTTAAGTTAAAATATATTTATATTGCTTATTATAGCAGAAAAACGTGATCACGGTGGCACAGAGAAGAAACATAAATTTTCCTTGAGATGTGAGAATAACAAGCACAACAAATTTGACGGCTAATAATCTGAGATTTGCCTATGTAAACGGGGTGATTAAAAAACGAGCTTTGATTGAGATAATATTGATATGTGAACATAGTTTAAGTCGCTACTGTTTTGCAATCTAAAAGAAGAAATCACATTATAATTAAATAAAAGTGTTAAATACGTATTCTTACCTTCAAAATTTTCGTAGTAACATTTCTTCACAGTATGTATACTGTCATCAAAACTCCGATGTTTCTAACTTGCTCGCTCTAACGCATAGAATTCTTAATAGAGTACGAATTATTATCGGGTATGTAGCTCTAACAAAGCGAAATTTTTTGACAGTTAACAAAAAATTTGTAAGTGTGTGGGTGAGATGACTAAAAAGTTGTGAAAGTGTTTGTAAATCGTTTGAATTTTAGGGGGAAGTGGTGAGCCGAGGCTGGCAGGGGTGTGTGTGAGTTTGTCTGTAAAATTTTAGAATTAAAATGCTTGCAAACGTCAAGAATTTGAAAAATTCCTCTCATCGGTTCTACCTTGCTATTTTTGTATCATGCACAAGATCACGCGGGAAGGAAAGAAAGAAAAAAGCTGAAATCTCGACGCCGTCTTTGTTGTAAGAAGTAAACAACGAAGAGCATAAAGAAAGCCGCGAAATTGTTGAACGCATGAATAATCATTTTTATTATGCAAATTCTTCTATAAATCATGTCGTTGTGTTAAATTATTCTTGACCTTATGTGTACACACGTTGTCACAGCCGAAAATGAAGAAAATTGCAGTAAAAAGCCACCACCAAATTGTAAACAACGAAGAAATGTAAACAAACGGCTAATGTCAAAATTGTTTAACTTTTTTCCTAAATGCGATTCTAACGGGCTACTCTCCTGCCCGCGTGATCTTGTATTGTTGGTTCATGCACCTGCCGGCATACGAAATTGAACACAGCCAAAGCGAAATCCGAAGTTTGCTCGGCGGCGTTTCGTGGCGATAGATTTCTTTCCAAGGCGAATTTATATAAGGTGGAGTTACTAGCTCAGCTAATTTTGTGAATGTGTTTCGCCGCACGGCTTCTGATATCAAATTGAAAAATTTTGTTTGAAAATCTACACACACTCTTACAGATTTTGACAGTTTATGCCGCCAAAACAAAAACAAAATACTTGTAAATTTTTGTTTTTGTACTCCTGCTATCACCTTATATTAATTCGCCTTGTTTCTTTCTATCGCTCTGCTGAGCGGCAGGACATGCCAAAGGTGGCCGTATGTTTTTTTGGTTTCAAAGATTTAGAAGAAAACAACATATACACGAATTATTTTTGTTGGTAGAAAAATACAGTGATCGATTCGTTAAATCTGGCTTAAAAAATAATTATTTATAATAATTCCACTTGTTTTGTATTTATATGTGTTGTCATTTCTAAATATGGTTTCGTTTTTGAAAACAGGTCACCTTAATTATAAAGCCCAGTTTCAGTTGACCTACTTAAGTAGAGATTGTTGATTAACTTATACTATTCATTTTCAGATTGTACATTTAATCTGCACTTAAATGGCCAATATTGACTATTTAAATATCAGATATGCAACCCTGTGTTTGTACCAAACAACCAAGACCGATAGAATACAAGATTGCGCTGATTGATGTGAAATTTGGGAGAGTAACGTGAATATGACGTCATCGCAAATTTGCTGGTGGAGAGAGTTGTGAGAGGTCTATCAGTATGCAAGAATGATAGAATACAAGATTGCGCCGATCAGAGAGGATTTTTGAGAATAACTTTTGTGTGACGTCACACTGGTGCAATTGCGAGAGAGAAATGCCAAAACGTGAGCAAGAATGGAAGAAGAAGAAAAAATGTTGCAAGGAAAATGTAAACAAGATGCACCAGTGTGACGTCATATAAACGACGATTCTGTCAAATTCGTTAAGAGAGGAATAGCGGTCCGAGATCGTGCAACCTTTGTATTCTCTCAATCGTGCTCACAATCGTGATCAGTATGTATATATTTTGCATATGTATATGTATATGTACTTTCCACAGGCAATACACAAAATCTCCTATGACGTCATATTTCTGTCAAAATTTTCAAGAGAGAGTTAGCGGTATCACAATCAGCGCCACCTTTTGCATTCGTTTCACCCTGCCAAACAACCAAGATGGATTGGTAGGTTGTTTAATCAATCCCATCAAATCCCACCAAAAAGGAATCAGCTGTTCAGCGCAAAATGCAAGCAAACAAGCAAATGCAACAACAATTTCAAGGAACAAGCAGCAGTGCTGCCAATTGTATTGCATATTTGAACGATTATAATGCACTTGAACGCAATGTAAAACGGAAGCATCTAAAATCAATAGATCCTTACGAATTCGCTGAGATTTGTTACGATTCGCCCCGTGTATTATAACCAAGGTATTAAAGTAGGCGAAATAGCAAGGCGAATGGTGATTGCCCAATTCGGCGAACTTCGCCGTTCGGGTTGTATTGTGTTTCAAGCATTATTTACATGATCCAACTACACAAGATCTGATAAGATGAAGCAAAAGAAAAAAGTAATTTTCTGGCTGACGTTTGTAATTTCGGTGCCATATTATTTTCTGTGAAAAGTAAACAAAGAATATGAAGACGAAGCATAAAGAAAAAAATGCAAGCAATGTTGTAGCACATGTTTGTGCTAACCAATTTATTATTTTTTTACGTGTTTTTGCATCCAATCACCGCGCATTTGCAATTTGTTAGTGATTTTTCAGTTGAAGAGTGTGTAAAAACTAATTTCCAAGCACCTACTAGCCACGGTGTAGCGAAACAAAGGTGGCGCCGTCAGAGGTACCGCTACTTTGGTTTTGCCGATTTTAACAGTTGTGGTAACTCGTAAATAAACTTTTGTTTACAAATCAGTGGCATAGAGAAATTTGAATTATTAGTGAAAAATCGGTTTAAATCGTGTTAATTTGCAATTTGTTAGTGATTTTTCAGTTGAAGAGTGTGTAAAAACTAATAAAATGAAGTGCCGTGTATAAAATTGCGACAGTCGTGAAGGTAGTGCCTCGAAATGCAGCTTTTTTCCTTTCCTCGCAACGATGCCGTGGCGAGAAAGTGGGTGGAATTCTACAGGCAAGATAAGCCATTCAATTTGGATACTAGCATCATATGCATGCGCTGTTGTCCTTCCATGAAGTGCACCATGGTGCCCCATCTCATTATGCGTAGATGCGCTGCGACGAATAGCTGCATTTTGTGTATATAGGGCGCGGCAAAGCCGTTCCCGAAATGTTTTTTTTTTTTATTATTATATTGACAGCATTTTACCAGAGTCATATCGCTTCTGCTCCAAGCAGCCTTCTTTAGCAAGTTAAGTAATCAATCCCACTCAGATGCTGGCGCAGTTTGCTGCACCAGCCTTAGTTGCAAAGCAATGGAGTACACTAAAACATTTGCTGCAGCAGCCTTAATTGCAAAGCATGAAGTGCACTAAAACGTTCACTATTCTCCAATAGATTAGATGAAAAATGCAATATTTTCGCATTGATCAAAATTAAAACACTTTTTTCGCTGTAAAGTGAACTGTTTTGACAGTTTCAACTCGTTCTACTTTTGTCTCTATTGTCAACGGCCAGGACGGCGCAATCTTGTATTCTATCATTCTTGGGTGCTTGGTATGAAAGAATTCGTGGCAACACTGTTTGTTTGTCAAGCTTGACAATCCAATCCGTGCAACCCTGAGTGATATACAAAGAAAATTGATGAAAAGAAATTTGTAGATTGCTTACGAAGAGGTGGTGGTTTTTCGTCACTAACAAATTTGCGAGGTTTGCCAAGATAATCGCACTGTGTTTCAAGGGCAGAGGTTAAGGAAGGAGATTTTCATAAATATTTAATCATACTGGAAATTTAATCTAAAAATAAAGCATCTGAGGTGGCTTGAATTAGCCCTCAGACAAGTTAAGTTGAAAGGTGAGAGCACCTAATTAACAAGTACCCAACGATTAGCTCAGGTGAAATATTTTCAGTGAAATAAATAATAACATATATAAAAAGTTGGTTGAGATCATCATATCGTATCAAGATGACTGCTCCTGAAGTACCTCGCACGGAATTGCAAGAATTACAACTCAAATCTGCTCAAGTGGCAGATGAGTCACTTGAGAGCACCCGTCGAATGCTTAATCTGATGGAAGAAAGCAAAGAAGCTGGAATCCGGACCTTAGTGGCTTTGGATGACCAAGGGGAACAATTGGATCGCATTGAAGAAGGAATGGATCGCATTAACGCAGACATGAGGGAAGCTGAAAAAAATTTAAGCGGAATGGAAAAATGCTGTGGGCTATGTGTTGTACCATGGAAAAAAGTTGCGATCAAAGACGATAGCGACAGTGCTTGGAAAGCAAACGACGATGGCAAAATCGTTAATAGCCAACCGCAAAGAGTCGTAGACGAACGTGATCGAATGGGAGGGGCACCACCCCAAAGTGGATATATACCACGTATTACTAACGATGCTCGAGAAGATGAAATGGATGAAAACTTAGGGCAGGTAAACTCTATGTTAGGAAATTTGCGTAATATGGCTCTAGATATGGGATCGGAATTGGAAAACCAAAACAAGCAAGTTGATCGTATAAACGCTAAGGGTGATGCAAACAACGTACGAATGGATGGAGTAAACAAACGTGCTAACAATTTGCTCAAAAGTTAAAAATTTCAAAAGATTATCTAATAGACTAGAGCTAAGTATATGTATAAAGCGCAAATTGAAAGGCACAAATACTAAACATAAACAACAAAAACACGGATATTGATAAATCTGCTCAGTTCCAGATGCACGCAACAAATTGCCCAGTACCGAAAAGACCTACCATTGCGGTGCATTTTTACAATTTACATGTTACCAGTAACTATATACATATACGATATATACACTAAATCGCTGAAAATACAAATGACTAATATACAAGTGCTGAACTAACTACCCACCATCTAAGTAACTACTTACATTATACACTTATACAAAACGATGAATCAGACAAGATTGCGGAAAAATAAATTCAATGTCTCAACTATGTGCATATGTATATTTAGCACAAGCACCTATAATTTAAACTTTTTATATTTAGTAATCGTTTTTGATGGCGTTCAAATAACGCGATTTTATCTTTTATAAAATTATTATTTCTATAACTTTACTCAATGAAAATTGTTGAAATTATACACGTTGTAGTGGAGCACTTTTTTAGGGCAATTCGTGCACACCAATATGCATTCATACACAAACTTACTGCTAGATTTGCGAGTGACGAAAAACGACTCAACACAGGTGATTTAAATACTTGTTTCCGTACTCGAAAGCCTGCTTATTACTTTATATATGTACTTATGTACCTACATTTAATTCATATTAAAAACAACTTGAACTTAGTCTTCATGTATTTATTATATTATTGTATCCTAGATAACAAGTTGTCCCCATATACAGCAGTGTTCACGAAAATAGCAGCGCGACGTATCGATAAGTTTTGATAATTTAATTTCCATTGTATGATCTTTGCCGCCACGTTTATCCGAAAAAAATATATTTATATAACAGCACCGGATGACTTCTATTAAATCCATAAAGGAAACACAGAAAATCTTGGTTTATCGGTACAAAAGTGGAAAATCGGGACATTAATACGTCCCGACTTTCAAAAATGATTCAGAGGTTTACTTCTTTAAATCGGTACAGTCCCGATGAAATCGGTACGAATGCTAACCGTACATATAAAATATCCTTTTTTACTGAAGAAAAAGCACAACACCCTCAAAGAAAAATTTTTCAAAAATCAACCGGAATCTTAAGCCACCTGAAATTTACGCATATACTAAAAAATTCTGTTAACATTTGTCAAAACAACTTCTCTCGATTGAGGTCGGTTTCTTCGAATAATAATTCAACGAGTTCGCATATGATATTTTTATTTTTAATCGTTAATAGTAGCTTAAGATGCTGTCTTAATGAAAGTTTAATAAAAGTATCTTTCATTTGTATGGTTTTTGTCTTAGAATTAAGTATATTTTTGTACAAAATAACCAAAATTGATAAAGGAAATTAAATAGTCAAAACTGTTATTTTCATGAACGCTGCTGTATACATACATATCGTCGCTTGGCGTGCAATAAGCGTCCAATGCGAATGTATACAAAGTGGTGTTACTGGCGAATTTAGATTTTCGCCGCGGTACTTCCTAATGTCAAAATGATGTGTTTGTTGTAAACAAGGCGAATTCATATTACAACAAAAACTAAGTTCGGCAGTAACACCACCTTGTATAAATTCTTTTTCTCAGCCATCATCGGTATTGCCTTTTTGCGTAAGGCGAATTTATACAAGGGGGTGTTGATGGCGAATTTAGATTTTCGCCGAGGTACGTCTTAATGTCAAAATGATGTGTTTGTTGTAAAATGAATTCGCCTTGTTTACAACAAATACATCATTTTGACATTTAGTAGTACCACGGCGAAAATTTAATTCGCCATCAACACCACCTTGTATAAATTCGCCTTGGTGGTGTTACTCCCGAATTTAGATTTTCGCCGCCGTACTTAATGTCAAAATGATATGTTTATTGTAATATGAATTTGCCTTGTTTACAACAAACACATCATTTTGACATTAGGAAGTACCGCGCGAAAATCTAAATTCGCCATCAACATCGCCTGTATAAATTCACCTTGATTTTGCGTATACGCGAGATTGCACCCCAAGCGACGATATGTATGTATACGTACATACATATGTCTATTCATTAGATGTTTTTTTTTAATTCGTAAAAAAGTCTTTAAGACAATTTGGATGCGTTCAGAAATACATCAGTCTCTTATTTCTAAACTATAATTGATGGAAATGTCCAATATGCGCAACCATGGACAAATGCCGAATTGGAACTTATACGGCTTTCCCACGCCACCCCAATTACGTAGTTCGCTATCTCATTAGTAATTCGCACTCCAATTACCCTTCGAATTACGTAATTCGCCATACAAAATTTTGAGAGCGAATTACCTTATTTGTTGGTAGTTCAGATCCAATTACCATGCGAATTATGAACAAATCGGTGCCGTCTCTAATTTTTATCGGGAATTTATCGAAACTAGCCCTTAAATCAAAACTTGCATTTTTCTGAGAACGAAAAGTAAAGTTTATAAATATGTATATCCCTAATTTAATACGGAAATAATTCAATTTTGCAACGAAGAAAACAAAACCAAAACATACAGAGAACTGTCAAATCGAATTAAGAATGTGGGAATGGGGTAATTCGCGATCGTAATTGGGGGAGCGAACAAAGAAATTCAGGATGCCGTGGGAAAATGGTGTTAGTTGCGTAAATAAGGCATTTCCATTAATTATAGCTTTAGAAATAAGTTACTAATGCTTTGGCTTGATGCATTTCTGGACCCACCCATTGTTCTTGTTAAACTATTACAAATTAATCTGTTGCATTTTACTTGAACAACTTAAAGGACTTCAAAAGGTTTGACTTTGAATTAAAAAATAATAAAGACTACAAATTTTGTATTTTTAATAAGCTTCGATTTAAAGGACAATTTAAACTGCACCATATTGGAACCTAATGAAATATTGATTTAAAGGTTAAATGGCCTATCTTGACATAAGTTGTTTTAATAAAATTCCACAAAAATATCGCTAAGGTTATAAGTACATATTGTATTATTTAAATCCATAAATAGACAAAAGTTAAAACGAATAAAAGGTGGTTTTTGTCACTACGATGGAGATAATGAATTATTTTTTTAAATTTCAACTAATAGAATTACACTGACCAGCCGTCTTCACGTGCTGGAAAATATCGCTTGCGTGACGACGCATGCGAGATCCTGCACATGTAGACCGCAAAAAGTACGAAGCATACTTTTTCTCGAATACCGAGCGGTTTGCGAGATCTCCCATGCTTTCAACTATCATTTTTGTTTGACAGGTATTTCCTCATTTGGCAGAATTCTTCAGAGTGGAAACATCGTTTATTTTGGTGGAAAATACAAATTTGGCCTGAAAAGTTCGAGCTTTCTCTTTTGGGGACATTTTACAAATGAAGAAGTTTGCTGTTAAGTGCCCAGTCAACAAAACTCGTATCTCGCTTCCGAGAGAAAAAAGTAGAACGCAAGCGAGGTTTTGAAACATGTAAAGACGGCCGGTCAAAGAGAAATGCTGCGTAGATACAGGCACGTTTTCATAAGGTCAAATTCAATGGCATTTGTCGTAAAATTAGTGAAAACACATTGTCTAATGGGTCCAAAAACCGGTTATTGATTAATTAAGATTAGTATAGGTTCAGTCATACATCTGCTGCTAAAGGCCCCACCAGATAGAAATTCTTTTCTGCGTCACACGGATGCTTCTGACCAGAGTGTCCAGATTTGGCGATTTCGCGCCAATTTAGCGATTTTTTTTTAGATATTTGCGCATATAAATTTAGGAAATCGCCATTGGCGATTTTGGGCGATTTTTTCCCATCAAAAAAAATTTTTTGCAGTTATAAAAATATACAAAACTTAGTTTTCCACGATAATTTTACAGAAGAGGCTAATGAACTGCGTGATAAATTTGGCTTAAGAAGCATATTAAAAAACTGTTAAAAATGTCGAAGAACTTTTGAAACGATTACCTAGTCAATTAAATATTTTTAAAAAAGCTTTGATTTTGTTACCATAAAAGTATTAGAGCTCCTGATATTCGATTAATCGAATATTCGAATTATTCGAATATGATGCTATTCGAATAGTAAAATTCGATTAGCTGTATTCGAATAATCGCACGCCATCTATTATTCGAATGATTGATCGTTTTCAATTATTCGAATAACTGGTGCGCGATTATTCGAATGTTGAAATATATGTAGCTATGTATACATACTATGTATGTATCAGGGTTGTTGCGAATGTTATTCCCAAATAAAAGTTCTTTCCGGATAATAAACAAACCGCTTATCCAAATCAAACAAGTTTGGTATTAAATGAAAGAGGATTTAAATAGCTTTAAAACTGAAATGTCTAAACGAAGAAAGCCACATTGAAAAATATTTCAACAAAAAATTTTAACTAATTGCCATAAAACAAATCTTGTGTCAGGTGCCTTTCTTTAGTATTAAATTATAAAAAAAAATATAAATAGAGATCGTTCGCTATTTCTGTTTAAAAGTTATTTCAGTCTTCTTTCATATGATACCAAATTTGTTTAATTTGGACAGGCGGTTTGTTTATTAAGCGGAAAGGACTTTTATTTCGGAAAAATATTCGCAACAACCCTGGTATGTATGTACACATTTAAATAAATTGAAATGTATGAATATGGGCCATTCCAGTGAAGACGATACAAAAATAAAATACATAGATTGTAGGTGCGTTCGACAAGTCAAAAATTTGTAATAGTTTTTCCAAATTTTTACTGGATGGCGTTCGATAACGACAAAAAATTATCCAACACACAAAAATTGAGAGGGCAAGCATTCATTTTGATGCAAGAGAAGCGTCCATTTTGTACTGGCAAAATTTTAGTCAGCAAAAATTATCCAACACGAAAACATATGATCACAAAACATATGGTTGCAATTTTTGTAAACAAACAAAATTGCATTTTTCGAGTTTTGGGATTTATATGCTTTTTGGCTGCCTGCTATGTGACTTTATGATAGAGCCAACTAGTTCTTACTTCTAGAAATGTTCCTGGCGAACATTGAACGTTCACTTTCCTTTTTTCTTCTATGGAGGCAACATGAATTTCAGTTTGTTTACAAATAAAACATAAACAAAGTCAGCTGGTGTGTCTTCTTCTTCCGGTTTTTGCAAGTAATGGCTAATTTCCTGTTCGTTTACTTTTTTGCTTTTTCATCTCTTTGGGAGAGAATTTTCGCTTACTCTCTTGATTTTGATTGTTGGCTGGTGTTGGCTAATTTTGTTATCGAACGCAACTATTGTTTCAGCCTGTGAAAAAGCAGAGAGAATAATTCGTTAGAAATAGATTTCTATGTTGTCAAGGCATTCCTGGTGTATCAAAATGACAATTCAAAAAATAATTATCAAAAAAAAAAGGAAAGTACAATTAATGGACTTTAAAACGGTTATTACAAAAATTTATGTATGCTGAGGAGTCACAGCCAAATATGTATTTTTTAACGTATAGATCAAACCAGGTCCCCTTATAAAAAATTATTTAATATTCACATCAAACCATTAGCGGTAATTTTATTCACGAACTATGTGTCCTCAATAGTGACTCGTCCCACCCGTCACAATCTAAAATGTATGTTGTGGCAAAAATGAGATTTGGTAACACCGAACTCCAGGCATCGAGATTTATGCATACAAATCATAAAATCGTTATTAAAACAACACATTTGTAAAATAATAGCTAGAGAAAGTAGCGCCTGTCAAGGCAATGCCTTCAAATAAACTACGTTTTTTCGCTCTTCTGTAAAATTTAAGTGCCGTAAGATAGGCGGTCTTGCAATTAGTCGATGGGCGGTTTTGCAAATTAGTCGAAGTGGGCGTCATCGTTGTCCTACCCGTCTCTCTAGGAACAAGTTTATATGTACATTATATGATTAAGTTTTTTTTATACTTTATCAGTTTTGTATTAAACGGATATCTGACTTCAAGTGTTAACTGTTTGAAACTCGCCAATTCAATGGTTAAAGAGACATTACTAAAAGTTTGAGCAAAAACGAGTTTAAATGTCCCACCCCTCACTTTGGAATGCCTCACATAAGTTTGTTTTGAGAAAATATTCGAATAATCGTAGCTTTGCGACTATTCGAATAATCGA